TTTGCCTGAGTGTGTATGTGTGTGGGGGGGCTGGAGGTAGAGGAGGAAGCTGAAGACAGTGGTGAAATCGGAGAGAGGTGGGGAGGGGGAAAGAGGGGGAATATAGGGAGAGAGAGGAGGAAGAAGCAAAGGGAAAGAGAGAATGGGAGAGGGAGAGGGTGAAAGAGGGAGAGGAGGGAGAGAAGAAGGAAGAGGGTGAGAGAGAGAGAGAGAGAGGGGGGATCAGGGGAGGGAGTGGGAGAGAGTGTGTGTGGGTCTGTAGGTGTATGAGAATGTGTGTGTGGTCTATGTGTGGATGTGAACATGTGCATGTGTGTGAAACTATATGAGTGTGGGTTAATTGTGTGAAAAGCAGTAAGTGGGATTGTGCGTTATGGTGTATGAGTGTATATGTGGAGTTTGCCTGTGACACGTGGTCTTTCATATTGCTCTACTGGACCTGACCGACAACCATCTACTAGTTTGTGTCATCTGTGTTTTTCCTTTTTCCAAGTCTAATAGACACTTGTCTGTGTGAGGGAAAAGTTCAACAGATAGGAGAAGTGAGCGAATATATGGTGATGATAGTTTGATTGCAAGACTGCTTGTTAAGGTAGGGTCAGTGTCTAACTCCCGCTATCCCCCACCTTTTTCCACCCGGAAAGGTGACGTGTGGGGCTCCGACCAAATGGATAATCACTTGACTCACAGCTCCCAGCACAACTGTAAGTAAAAGCCTCTGCTCCTATTTTTAATGGATATGTTGATTAAAAGCTTCACTTTTAACTAATTGAGGAGACTAAGTTCATCGTGCTTTTACTTTAATGTTTAAATCCTCACCAGTCTTTTAATTGCCTTACACTTATGGAGAGTGTTTTATCGAGCAGTGGTTAACTTTTGTCTCTTTCTAGCTTGGAATGTCAGCTTGGGTCATCTGGCAACTACAGGGACAGTGCTGAAAGAGATGAACCTCACTTTGGTTCTGGGATATCACCCTTGATCTACTTACCTGAGTGTATCCAACCCAAGGCAGCTACCCCTCATCTCTGCAGTGGTGAAAGACCTGCGTTCCTATCAACTGGACGGATCATTCAAGGCTAGACTTACGGTGACTGAATAGTCGTTGGGTTGTCACTCACCAGCTGTGACCCCCCCTACATCAGCAAGAGCTAGTTTCTACAATGTGCTGTCAATAACACCGACTTGACATACCATGACACCTGTATAAATTAGCGTTGAGTTCAAATATCATTTTTATATTTCATTTTTCATTTCTTTCAAGTAGGATAAAAGTTCATATTTAATTGTTTTATATTTTCAATTCTAACAAAGTGGTTTATATATGACTCAAGAAATCGTAATGACACGATTGCAAACAAACCATACCCCCGGCCGGGATTGAACCCGCGGTCATAGAGTCTCAAAACTCCAGCCCGTCGCGTTAGCCACTAGACCAGCTAGCCACAATAAGATTCATCCAACTAGGTATATTTCTACACCATAGGAAGGTTAGCACAGGCACCTCTGTGACCACAAATGCAAGTTTTTACAGACGAATCTCCAGCTAGCGTGGCCGTGACGAACTCTAGCTCAAGTCCCTTCACTGCCGTCAACATGACTCAAGAAATCGTAATGACACGATTCGTCACGAGTTCGTCACGGCCACGCTAGCTGGAGATTCGTCTGTAAAAACTTGCATTTGTGGTCACAGAGGTGCCTGTGCTAACCTTCCTATGGTGTAGAAATATACCTAGTTGGATGAATCTTATTGTGGCTAGCTGGTCTAGTGGCTAACGCGACGGTCTGGAGTTTTGAGACTCTATGACCGCGGGTTCAATCCCGGCCGGGGGTATTGTTGGTTTATATATGCATGTCATTTTTCTATTCATTAATTTTCCTAAGGAGGAGCAAGCCTTGGTAATACTTACTTAACATGTTACAGGGCTGAGTAAGCCTTCAGTCTGCTCGCCTGTTCTACTATAAATTACCAGATGCTATTTGTTATTGAGTACCGGATAGCCTTTTTTTTTTTATCTTACTAGGAGAGCTGGATCGTTCACAAACACCTTGGCGATTAATTGGAACTCGCCCCTAACTCCCAGAAAAACCAAGTATATGTGAGATGCTTGTGATGCAGCAGTGGCCTGGTGGCAAAACCTTTAGCTTCACACGGTGAGTGTCCGGGTTTGATTCCCGGAGAAGGGGTGGAAACATTGGATGCGTTTCCTTACACCGGTGTCTATGTTCACCCAACAGTAAAATGAGTACCTAGGTGTTAGTCGACTGGTGTGGGTTGCATCCTGGGACAAAACTGACCTAATTTGCTCGAAATGCTCTGCATAACAATGGCTTTCTATATAAAATGTCATTGATATCAGCTAGGCCTATATACCTAGTATGTGCTTGTAGTAAATAGATATTATTATATTATTAACTCGTTGTGATGTCCTGGTGTATATCCGCCTCCAGTTCTTATCGATATTTAATATAACCCAATTACTGTGCTTCTTTCACTGGTCACACACTTATTTCACTTCATTTTTCTTGGGTGACACGTGTGGCAATGTCGCCTGCACCACACTACACCTGCCCTCTATGATTTGCACTACTAAATATCATTTTAATGTTCACTTATAATTGTGGCTTACCCCACACTTATGTGGCTCAGGGCAACTTGTAAATCTCTTCAAAGATTGTTCACTACCCTGATACACTTCCCTGCAGTAACCTTAGGTATCACACAACACTTAAATTCACACAGCAATGAAGTTGTGACTTGCCCACGCGTGGTGTGTGTACTCGCCTAGTTGTACCAACCTAGTTGTGGTTGCAGGGGTCGATTCACAGCTCTTGGTCCCGCCTCTTCACTGGCCGCTAATAGGTCACTCTTCCTGCTCCGTGAGCTTTACCTTATTTCTTCTTAGTTATATATGGATCCTGCCTCCACTGCATCACTTCCCAGACTATTCCACTTCCTGATAACTGTGGCTGAAGAAATACTTTCTAACATCCCTGTGATTCATCTGTGACATCAACTTACAACTGTGATCTCTTGTTGCTGTACCATCTCTGGAAAATTCTGTATCTCCAACCTGTCCCCCAGTGTCGTTAGGTCCATTTCCCTTAACCTCTCCTCGTAGGACGTATCCCTAAGCTCCGGGACTAGCTTTGTTGCAAACCTTTGCACTTTCTTTAGTTTCCTTATGTGCTTGGCTAGGTATGGATTCCATACTAGTGCTACATACTCCAATATGGGCCTAACGTCCACAGTGTACAGGGTCCTGAACGATTCCTTAAGATGACGGAATGCTGTTCTTAGGTTTGCTAAGCACCCGTGTGCTGCAGCAGTTATTTGGTTGATGTGCGCGTCAGGAGATGTGCCCGGTGTTATACTCGCCCCAAGATCATTTTCCTTGAGTGAGGTTTGTAGTCTTTGGCCCCTGACACTGTACTCCATCTGCGGTCTTCTTTGCCCATTCAGAATCTTCACGATTTTGCACTTGGTGGGGTTGAATTCCAGGAGCCGGTTGCTTGACCAGGCCTGCAGCCTGTCCAGATCCCTTTGTAGTTCTGCTGGGCCTCAACTTTACATCTGCTAACAGGGACTCTTCGGAATCTACTCCTTCCGTCATATCGTTCACAAATACCAGAAACAGCACCGGTCGTAGGACTGACCCCTGTGGAACCCCGCTCGTTACAGGTGCCCACTGTGACACCTCACCACGTACCATGACTCACTGTTGTCTTCCTGACAGGTATTCCCTGATACATTAAAGTGCTTTCCTCGTATCCCTGCCTGGTCCTCTAGGTTTTGCACTAATCTATTGTATGGAACTGTGTCAAATGCTTTCTTACAGTTCAAGAAAATGCAATCTACCCTCCCTTCTCACTGTCTCACTGCTGTCACCCTTTCATAAAACTTCAGTATGTTTATGACAAATTTCCAGTCCCTGAAACAGTTCTGGCTGTCTCTGATAAGCTCATTCCTCTCTAGGTGCTCCATCACTCTTCTCAGCATAATATTCTCTAAGACTTTGGAAACTATACATCTCAATGACAGTGTCTCTTTGTTTAAAAATTGGGACTGCATTTGCTGTCTTCTATACCTGTTAGTCGCCCTGCTTCGATAGATGTGTTGAAGATTGTTGTTAGTGAATATATAGCGCCTCTGCTCCCTCTCTCAGGACCCATGGAGAGATGTTATACAGCCCCATTGCCTTTTTGATATGTAGCTTCCTTAGCACCCTCTTCACTTCTTCCTCGGTTGCATGTATTGTCCAACGCTTGATGGTGTACCCTGCCTCTCCATCTTTTTGGAGTCCCTTCTGTCTCTTCTGTGAACACGTCTTTGAATTTCATGTTGAGATAATCACATACTTCGTGGTCGTTTCTTGTGATCTCCCCTCCTTCCTCGTCAGCCTGATTACCTGGTCCTTGGCTGTTTTCCTCCTGATGTGGCTGTACAGCAGCTTCGGGTAAGATTTGCCTTTCGTATCTGTGTGATTTTCATATTGTCATTGGGCCCCCTTCTTACCTTTGCATATACATTTCTGGTTATGCGACTGCTCTCCTTATTCTCCTGGGTCTTTTGCCTTCCATACTTCTTCCATTCTCTAGCACACTCGGTTTTGGCTTCTCTACACTTTTGGGTAAACCAAGTGCCCATCCTGGATTTCTGTGCGTGTGTGTGTGTGTGTGTGTGTGTGTGTGTGTGTATTAGTGCCTTTGTTCGTAGGAATGAATTGTTAATGAAGGATATAAACAGCAGATAATATCGAATAAAATTCACGAATTTTACTAAGCCTGGATGCTGTCAACTTCAGGCTGTCATAATAATATCCATAAATTTCTGAATAACCAGTGACCACTGTACATATGCTGGGTCCAGTAAATTACTTCGTCATAAATATTTTCTAACTAGCTGTTTAATTACCGTATCCAGTACATTACATCGTGCGTAATCTTGGTATCCTTGCGTCACAACAGTATCCATTATAAACAAGATAAAATCATCAGCTTACCACAAATAACGTCCAGGACACAGAGGGTAAGGTCATCATATATGTCGAAGGTATTTCCATCAGCTTTCTTCTCCAGTTTTTGGATCAGCTTGTTGCTTTGTTTATTAAAGACCGACATAAACTCTTCTAATATCTTGAAGTGAAATGCTGGAGTGAGTAGCTTCCTGCGTGTATGCCAGTGACTGCCTGTGAAGAAGACTCTATGGTAGGTATTGAGCATGTAGAAAAGATAAAGCTTCAAAGACTGCTTTGCTGTTGCGCTCTCCTCTCTCTCTCTCCTCTCTCTCTCTCTCTCTCTCTCTTCGAGAGAGCTCTCTCTCTCTCTCTCTCTCTCTCTCTCTCTCTCTCTCTCTCATTTTTATAATTGCTCATAAAATTAAATACCAAAGGCTTGAATTATCTTAAGAGAAAAGAGCAAGATCATTATTTACACTACTGACTCACATGGTACCTACCAGTGGAAGTCAGAAGACTCAAGCCCAGCCAGGGATGAATGAAATCGTAGTCCCTCCCTTTGTCCAGGTGTTTCTGGCTACTTAATAAGACCTATAATTAAAGAATGAAGATTATCTAAAAGAGTTTTGGAACTCTGGGAGAAAGAAGTGAGATATTTCTTTCATTATAAGGTTTCCCCGCAAGATAACGTTTGAGTGATTGCCTAAATACTATTTTATTTTTACTTTCTTTTTTTTTCCCAAAACTTACGTTCATAAATACAGAATGCATTGTTTGATTCTCTTCAGTTTTTCAAAGCTGGTAGACTGTACAAGGAAAAGGTTCGAGTAGTTAATGTGTGCAGGAATATATGATCACATGGAATGGATTCGAAAACTTTCAAGTCACTTCTGCTTGACTTTAAACAAAACGTCTGTTTTCCTTCAAACGTTAAGTTAAATTTAATTCCTAATTTGACAATAACAGAGACTGTTTGTTGCCAGAATCAACAGTTTCATGAGACATAGCACAGCGAATGAAATTGTTGAGGACTTTAATACAGAGAATTCTGAATTTAGGGCTGTAGAAGCACATAAATTCTCTAAACCTAACAACAACAAGGTAACCTTAAAGTTAATACTTGAGACACCTGAGGAGGCCAAACTTGTGTGTCAAAATGGCTTCAAATGTTTTGGCACCAGATGTACACCTGACCAAATCTCCCTTGAACGATTTGTCAGTGTGACACAATGTTTTAAATGTTATGCCTTTGGTCATAAAAACCCCAAAAAATGCAGTACTCAAGGGCAGATTTGTAGCATTTGCTCTGGCCAAATTCTTATCGAGATTGTAATAATAAAAATACACCCAAATGGTCCTCTGCAACGGAAAACATCTGCTGTTTCTGCTATTTGTCCTGAAAGAAAAAAGGAAAAAGCAGAAAATTTTTGAAGCCAAGAAAACTGTCCACTTCTAAAAAGACCACTCCCCCGGCACCGCCAACGATGTCCCAAACTTCCTTCCCAGCTCTGCCTGGATCAAGTGGGATCCTCAGGTCTCTTTCCAATGGTTCCAATGTTTGGAATTCTGCCCCTCGTGGAGCGCCCCAATCTAACCCTCACCTAAAACATACACAACGCACACAAC